ATATCATGGAGTTGTACCTTCAGATTTATGCGGATGCTTAGCAGTAGCGGCAGGCATGGTAAGGACAGGATTGATAATGATTGTAATCGCAACTAAAGCGATAATAAAAATTAAATGAAATTTTAACATTTCGAGATTAATTCTTTTCAGATCAAGGGGAAATGTTTAGTAGGACGCAAAAATAAAGAATAAGCATATTAACAATTTATACATTTTCTAAATGCATATAATTAATGTGTGCAGTGAACTCGACGCAATATCATAGAATACCGGGTATGTATACAAATAAATATTCTTGTTAATAATTTATGGCAATCTAATACTAGTCGTGCTCAATGTAAACTATTGCGTACATACTGTGCATGTTTATTAATTAATGATATAAATGTTTTTGTTTTCAATTTTCAACTGCTGCCCTGATTGGTTCAATGCATCGGGAAACATTGGTGTAACTTTATACACCATGATTAGCGATGCTACCCAAACTATTTGGGACGTCCCAAACTATGTGATGAATAGCATCATACGATTTCAGGAATAACAATAAGGAGGTAAATACTTGATGCGATATTATTCATCACATAGTTTGGGATGCCCCAAATAGTTTGGGTAACATCGCTAACCATGATACACCGTAGGTACGTACGTACGTACGTAGGAGATAAGACTCGGCGTTAACAAGTTAATTCATATTGTTCGACGAGGCTGAGCGAATGATGCTGAAAAGCATTTAAAATAAGTCCATAATGATTATATCATGAGCTCTGCCGTAAATTGATAAATTTAAACTATTAGCGAATAGTAAGTTGATTATTAATACTGTATCGGTATATAGTATAAATTAAAAGTCTTAATCGAATACGTTTATTTATCCTTTAGACCTTCAAGACAAAACAATCAGCTTTTCGCATTTTTATCTTAAATGATGAATCTGCTCCATGTAAAACTAGAGGCAAACGCTAGATAATAATTCGTATTTTTTATCATTTTACCATTATTCATCCTTAACCAGTTTTAGGGTGTTCAACTCGATACTGTTCACCGACAGTACGATTCACCGACAAATTTATTTTACCGATAGTACGATTCACCACATAGTCGCTTTTTAAATTTTAGTCTGCGCACAAGAATAACAAAATCACGAGACCTCGAAGTTTTTTATATATAATTAGAATTTATTTAATTATTGTTACTCAATTCGAATCTAAATGCATTTACATCCAAATTCAAATTTTATTTAATACATGTATAAACTTTAAATGCTACCAGTAAAAGGTTTAATGTCATTTACCATTTTTTGAATAGAATTAAAGTTTGATTCAATACTTCTAAGCCATGTTTTTGTTTGGAAAATTATTGGATTTTTCAAAACAATTAAACGCCTAAAACATAAAATTAATAAATATATTTATTTAAACACGGAAATATAATGTAAAAAAAATTTTTTTATACCTTATGAAGAATTTTTCTGTACTTTATTAAAATTTCAGATTCGGATTCATTATATGCTCGATTCCTCATTATCTATGTTTCGGTTTTCTGAATTTACCAGATCAATCGATTGTGTGCAATCAACTAAGGTCAACGTTCAAGTGTTTTCCCATAAAGTTTCTTTAGCTTCCGTAATAAAAGGATATTGAGAACTTCGTTGTATCTAAATTAATATCATGCTAGATTTAGAAAATGTAAACCATAATACAATGACAACCTTTCCGAAAAAGATGTATCTATCTTTCCAAGAGGATTAACAAGATGTTTGTTTAATAAAAATTTTTTTAAAAAAACAAGGATAAGAACATGTCCAATTTTAATGATCGGTTATACTTCTGCACATTTTTAATGCTATGTATGATTAATTTATTCTATTCAGTTTTGAATTCTTTACGCCACGATGGTAATATTCGTTCATGTAATAATTTTTAAAAATAACAACAAGATCAATACGTGGCTGGTTGAATTTGTACAAGTAACTCCCTTTTTAGCATACCATATACATATCGCTTTCTCCTTCAACATCCATAAGTTTTTCATAAGGCTATATACGTATTCAAGCTTTTCTAATTTTATGGCATTTTCTTTTTGCTTGCAAATATCATTTAAATTTTGATCCTCACGTTTCCGTTTTTTGCTTTCATTTACACTGTTTGTATACTCAAGACATGATTTACTATTAATCTGAAACGCAATACTTGGTTTTGTAATTCGACAAGATTAACAGATGTGCATGTTCCATCTCAGAAACTATATATTACGATATTCAAAGAAATAAACAATTTCAACGTAAATTATTATTACTGTATTATTAATCAAATGTCTTCATTATTGTATTTAATCATTAATTTTAATCAATAATTTTAGTGCCGGCAAATAAATTTAAGCTCCGTATATATGTAACTGATTTCGGTGGCGACACTAGGTGGCGACAAGTTTATTTCACCGACAGTACGATTCACTGACAAGTTTAATTCATCGACAGTACGTTTCACCGACAAGTTACAGATTTCTTTTTTTATAAGCACATCTGTGAAATAAATGTGTTAGTGAAATAAGTATCTGTTGGTGAATCGTACTGACTTGTAACTTGTCGGTGAAATAAACTTGGTAAATCGTACTGTGAGCTTGTCGGTTAAATGATGCGGAACCGTTCAATTTCGTATTAGATTCGCTTGAATATTTCAAGAAATGCAAGAGTCTTTCGTAGACAAATAATAAATAAATAAATAAATAAATAAAAAGTTAAAGAAAAATTATTTAAGAAAAATCTTTTATTATTAATAGTTATTAATAGTTATATAGTTTTTTTTTTCGGATTTTTATACATAAACAATATATTTAATTATATGCAAAAAATACCAATAACATAAATAAATAAGTATACTAATAATTAATAATTTTAGGCAGCTAAATGTTTAGACGCAGAACTTTGATCTAAATTAACAGAAAAATCAGAAGAATCAAGAGCTGAAATGCCCATGTTATTCAATTTAGATGCTTGGGTAGCTCCAGTACCTTTAAATTGATTCGAAGCAACCACATTTAAAGGCTTAATATTTTGAACTTAGGTAAGTTCTTGATCTGAAAATTAAGCTGATTTCTTTTATGAAATCATTATCGTATTTGATGCTCCTTTATCTTTTGAAGATGCAAAATTATTAGCATTAGTTGCGGACATTTGAGCCGACTTAAAATTCGCTACTTCAAGATTTTGTATGTCTTGAAGTTGATCAGACGAAAAGGACGGCATAGAGTTAAGAAGTATTCTTTTACGAAAACTCGTTTTTGATGATTCTTTGTCTTTTGCACTCGCAAAAGTATTGATCTCAGTTGCTGATATTCCATTTTCATTAAAGCTCTCGGCTTCAATATTTTCGATATCTTGGTTCTGATTCGAAACAAAGACCGATGGTTTTTTATCTACTATAGAACGCTTCTGATCCGAAGGTTGAGATTGATCTCTTTTATGAATCACCATGTTCGACGACTCTTTATCTTTTGAACTCACTAAATTATTAGAGTTAGTTGTGGATATCTCAACATTATTAGAGTTTGCGGCAGCTATGTTTTCAATGTCATGGAATTGGTCCGAGCGTTTATGATCCGAAGACTGGGGTTGATTTCTTTTATGAATCATGGTGTGTGATGACTCTTTATCTATTGAATTCGCGAAAGTATTGGAACTAGTTGTAGCTAAGTTAATTGCGTTCTGGTTCGAAGCTTCAATGTTTTCGATATCTTGGTCTTGTTTCGACATGAAAATCTTTGGAGGTTCCAAAATTGGTTCAGCAGAACGTTTATGCTTAGTTGCCATAAAATTAGATTGGTCTTCGATATAGAAATCCCTTGCGAATTTATTTTTTGGCAAATCTAGAAAGTTTCTGCGTTCGTATAAAGGAAGCGGTTTAAATTGAAAGTTCGAGTATGGATAAAGTGTACCCTCAGGTCCGCCATGGAATAAATAGTGATACCCTCCACCATAGAATTCATTAGCCATAAAGTCTTCAGGTGAGTAATCGTAATATGGAGAAGGATAAAAGTTTGGATTCAAGAAATATTCTGGAGGATATGAATACGGATTCATATAAAAATTTGGCCTTGGAAATATGCCTTGATATGGATAATAAAAATTTGCCAAAGAGAATTCGACAAAAAGAATGTCAATGAATATTAAATAGATGATTAATTCTGTGCACTTAAATTTCAGCATCGTGAAATGTTTTATAATTTAAAGGTATTTTTTTGGTTCAGGATAAATATATAATTTTCAAACTTGTCGCTTATTGAAAGGACTAGAAATAATTAAAATAATTAAGATAATTTTTGAGGCCTACTTTACTTCCTTTAAATAATGTCCTTCATTCACGCCGCTCATCTTTTTTTTCATCATTTCGCAAAAACTAATGATTTTGATTATTTTAGGAGTGGATCTCAATCAAAATATGTATAATCATCAATGAATTGATACCGATACCATTTAAATTAAATCAAATCATAGATTGGATTTTTTTAAGAACAAGTTCTGATTCTTGATTTAATTGTCAAAAATGTGCCGATTGACTAATGCGACAAATTAGGACGAAAATTTAACCTTCACGAGAGTAACAACTTTTCCTTGACCTTTAACTAATGCCGATAAGATAGTTTGCTTTTTAATATTTCAATGTGATAATATAATGCCAAGCACTTCAAGTTACAACACATATTACGCTATCTTAAAAGTTAGTTTTAAAAATGGGTTCTCTATCGTTATGCAAATTAAAGTTTATATTGTACAATAAAGTTTATGACTGATACATAGTCATTTAATACATATATGACGTATATATTGCATTGCAAATATGAATGTCTTCGTTTTAGACATAGGATTAACATTTATCCGATGTATATCTTGATGATTATAAATGATTTATTATGACTCACAAAATTCTTGTGCAATAATTTTGAACAGCTTATAATATAAATATCATCAATATTTATCAAATCTTTCCTTACTATCAGCATACATGGAATCTCCATCTTCATCGATACAAACCGATTCATGGTCTCCATTTAACTATTCTCATCATGCTCGATTCGTGTCAGCTATTCCACAAGACTTGATATTTTTACTATCTCCTAAACCACATGAGCGGATCTTAGATATTGGATGTGGTGATGGTGTGCTCACCTTTCAGATTCAGCAAATGTGTAAGGAATGTATTGGCATTGACAAAAGCCCTCGAATGGTTGAGGCTGCACAAGCTATAGGTATATTTAAGAGAAAATATTATGCATTTATTGAATATACACAATATTAGGGTTCTGCAAATGCCCATGCTAGGAACTAGTGCCTCATGCCATACCCATCCCTATAGGCACAAAAGTGCCAGAAATTATTATGGGCATGGGCACAAATGACGGGAATTTTTATAAGCATAGGCACAAATGCAAGGTACTTTATAGGCACAGCACAATATGGCAGGAAAAAAGGTGCTAAAAAAATGCCAGACAAAAGTGCCGGATAGTACCAAACATACAATTAATTAATAAAATACTAAATTTTTGTGCCTGTACCCATGCCAAGTTTTTATACCCGTGTCATGCCTATGCCAAATTTTTGTACCTGTGCCAATGTCTATGCCAAATTTTTGTACCAGTGTCTATGCCCATGCTAAAGCTTTCATGCCCATGGCAATGCCTAAATTTTTGTTTGGCATGGGCACGAGCCCATCCCTACACAATATATTTATATATTCGATTCTTTGTTAGGATGTAAAGATGTTAGAGTTGTTGATGGTGGAAAATTGAAAGAATGGGTAATTTCCGAAGGATTTGAAGGAACTTTTGATGCCGTGTTCTCTAATGCTGGTAATTGTTGATATATCACACAAACGGAATCTTTTCAAAAGTTTTCTAAATTGATTTTGTTTTGTAAAATTAAAGCGCTTCATTGGATCAAAAATCAAGAATCTGTAGTGGAAGGAATTCGTACATGTCTTAAACTCGGTGGACGTCTTGTAATAGAGATGGGTGGTAAAGGAAACGTACAAGGTAAATTTGCAATAAATTTACGGTTAAGTGAACTAGCAGACTTTACATCAATATTTATTTGAATGTTGCACACGTGTAAGTTATTGAAAAGTCAATGATAGCAGCTCTCGACAAACGTGGATATGATGGCGCGTCTCTTTCACCTTGGTATGAGTTCTTTAAAAGTAAATAAAGTTATATAATATCAAACATATTCATTTTCCTTTTTTGAAACTCAATAAAGGTTCTTTCCGTCCCAAGAAACCTACTCGGCACTTCTCACAAAGGCCTCGTTTCAAATTTCGTCAATCAATATATTTCCTCGTCCAACTCATTTACCTACTAATCTTCGTGGATGGATTGATACTTTTGGACATCCATTTACACAGAATTTGGATGATAAAGAGAAAGAAGATTTTATAAATGAAGTAATAGAGATGTGTAAACCTGAAGTTTATAATGAGAAAGATGGAAGTTGGATGATTATGTACGTTAGGTTGAGAGTTATTGCACACCTTGTTTGATTAAATATAATGGTATTTTGAACTGTTATTAAGATCCAACCATAAATATAAAATAGTAAATACATTATGATCTTACTATTACAAAATTAAAAAATGGGAATTTATAGATAAGGGCCCAAAAACGAAAATAATTACAAATAAAGGTCCAAAATGAATATGATTATAATAAAGTATAGTCATTAATTGTTAACGCACAATAAAAAATATACATTCGATTCGTCAACCCCTATAAATTCAGAATAAACAAGCCAAAATAAGCTGTTGGCCATTTATTTTACAAATGAAACCAGTTCATGTCCTTTTACTATTTCAGTTAACAAGCGCAAAGATGACCACATTCATATAGTAAGGTTGATTCCTCATGATCTAACTTGTCCAATTTCTATTGAAGCATCCAAAGCACGTGGCTCATACCTTGTAAAGTTTATTGCGCCATTATTTAAAGATACAGTATAGCAATACTTCGACCTCGTGATATTATGAACCGTGTTCGTGGGCCAAGACATCATATCTAGTAGCTTGAAGAAGTGAAGTATTAGGCCACAAAAGGTTAATTTTTCGTTTATATGGATTTCAAAAATCCGGTCGGTCGGTTGGATTTTTTTTTTTACAGCTATTATCATTATTTCTGGGACACCTGAAGAATTTTCAGATGACCGAAATATCCTCTGTAAAGTTTCTAGCTCTCCGGAAATTACATCGCTGTCTTCGGACTGAAGGTCCGGAGACAGCGATATAGTTTCCGAGAAGTTAGATAATTTACCGAATGAAACAGAGGATATTTCGGTCATCTGAAAATTCTTCAGGTGTCCCAGAAATAATGATAATAGCTGTAAAAAAAACATAATAAATTTTATTTGCGGGCCGTGCGGGCCGGCAGAAGTACATATTTTTAGGCCTGTGCAGGCCCCTACTTACATGACGTTGAAAAGTAACAATGAAACGCATTACAATCAATAAAAGAATTTTTCTAGTACACATGTTGTACGTTGGAAAGGCATTATTTTAATGTTGAAACGGAATTCCAAATATAACTCAAGTTGATACGAAATCGAAAAACAACTTATGTTAATTTTAAAATTGGTACAGACATTATCAGTTATGTACAAAGCGAAGTTTTCATGATACGTTTTTGTTCGAATTAAAAAAAACTCAGCCAATGATGATTTATGATTCATAATCACAAAGTGCCGAATAAATTTTGCTCAATAAGATAAATGATTGGCTGCACATGCCACTTCGTGCCACGTGCTACCACTCATCTGTCTTGTTGAGTAATCCCAATATTGTTCTTTAGTATTAAAAAACTGGGAATTTTTTATTTTGCAAAGTTAACTACCAATCCTAGTATATTACTAAAGAATCAAATATAATGAGAAATCTGAATTTTTTTCGAGGCAAGTTATTTATAAATGACAGCCATTTCGCAGACAAGCCAACACCAACTATAAGTCAGGTCGAACTTAATCTAAATCGGGCCAATTTTCTCTGCAAAATTAGTTATACCCAATAAAATAGCATGATTTGTATATAGTATAAAAGCTATCTACATATATTCTTTTCATTGAGGATCCTTATTCAAATACATTAGTACGTATGATTATCTCCTTACATTTTACGATTTCTTCAATATAAATATTATTATTAGATTTCGGATCAATAAAACTTGTTAATATGAATTGTACTGTCTTCTATATTATTAAAGTTGATATCCATTTCTTTATCAGATTTTTAAAAATTCGGCGAATATTTCAGTATTATTTTTCCAATTTAAAATAGTTCCATGAATTTCTATAGCTGATGGTCGTTTTCTGGATCTTTAGCCCAACATTGTTTTAAAGATTTACATAACACGGTGCTGTGCCTTTGGTCTTAAGCCTTCACAAATTTCTAATGTCAATCTTAAATTATCGTTTTTTAGTCAGAAAATACAACATTTCCTGAAGAAATCTCCCAAATAATCATTCCAAATGAACAAATAGTCGATACTTTGGTAAACGGTGTCCTTGCAAAACTTCCGGTGCTATATACGGCAAAGCACCATAAATTCCTTTTGATTCTTTGTCTAATTTATTAACGTTAATCGGTGTTGTAAATCACAATGAATAATATTATTCGAATGAATTAATTCAAGATCGGACGCGATATAAGATAGTAATTCTAACTTTTTCGCCCATTTCATTTGTGCAATTTCATAAGTTTCTTACGTAAAGATCCCATTTTCGCATATTGCATGACTAAAATATCATCATCTGTGCCTTCATTTTTTGATAGTCCATGACATTGTAAAAATGTGGGATTTTTAGATCCAATATTTGAATATGCGATTAACTTTAAAATAATAAACATATTAGTGAATGAATAGTAATGACTAAATTATAAAACTTGAGTTGTCAATATTTACCTCTTTTATAAGTTCCTCGCAGCTGTTTTTTGATCCATGAAATAATTTGAGCGCAACAAGTTTATTTAAAGTACCACTTGTGGTTGTTCGTTTCCAATTAGCAGCATACACAGTTGCAAACCCTCCTTTTCCAACTTTCTAATAAATTTTAATTTATCAAATGGAATCCAAGATATTAATAAATTATTGTCGCATAGTAATTTTTTTAGAGAATCATTCGAACTTTAATAATCAACCAAATTTTGGAAATTATTCCTTTTCGCTTTTGCAGCCATTCAATAACTTTTTCCTGATTAGGTGATATTTCGATAACATAATTCAACTTCATATTGTCTACTGGAATCACCATTCTCTGCAGATTTCAATTACCATTCAAATGCCTTTTTTTCATTCTTGGCTGTACCTATGCCATTTTGGTAGCAGCTTCCGACGTTATATTGTCCCTTCGAATAGCCACCTTCAGCAGATTTCAAATACCACTCAAATGCCTTTTTCTCATTTAGTTGTACCTATGCCATTTTGATAGCAGCTTCCGACGTTACTGTATATTGTCCCTTCGAATCGCCACATTCAGCAGATTTTAAATACCACTCAAACGATCCTTGGCAGGTTCTGCATCTAAGCATTTATTCATCAGATCCAAAAGTAATTAATTGAGGAACTTTACATCTAATTTTAGGTCTAAGACCATAACATATTTGAATTGCTAGTTTATCGTCATGTGGAATATCGTAATATGGAGGATATCCAGTAAAAACTTCCGACATAATTTTCCGAAAGAATAAATATCTGATTTTTGTGTGTATTCCTTTCCATTATACAATACCTCTGGAGCTTTAGAACTTGAGTCTTGTGATACTGGCCTACATAAGCCAAAATCAGTAATGTAAGAACTAAACTTATTGTAATTAATTATATTTCCGGAATGAAAATCTTTATGCACTAATTTGGCATCGTGAATTGTATATACGTAGCCCACTAGCTATGTAATACAAGTTAACTACCTTAGAAGCCCAATCTAATTCCCGTATTTACTGTCTAACAATTTTCTGAGACTCCCTGCTTTGCGTACTCCATAACCATCATGTAGTTACCATCTTTTGGGTTCTTGGTTATTCCATTAATCGCAATTGCGGAATCACCCCATGGTTATGTTGATTTTTAACCTAAAATAGTTATTAAAATAAATAAGATTATTACACCTTAATAATAATAAATTATAGTGCTTACTTCTAAAAACTCTTTGTTTTATATCTTCAGTATTATCACGTTCCTTTAAACAAACATCTATTTGTGCTTTTCATTCCCATACATTCTTTTGATAATCAAGCCCTGTAATATATCCGTCAATCCATACTGCCTTAAAAACGGTGCCAAAGCTTCCTTTAGCAAGATACCCATTCAATAATAATGTTTTTAAATGACACCGCATTAAGTTGTGTTTGCTGAATTAATTGATCAATGTCGTGATTGTCATTTGTCCAATTACGAAATTCTTCTTTAAACCTTAATATTAAAAAATAATAAATATAATAATAATTAAGAGCTACTACTATCGATATTTTAATTTGCTGTGAAAAATTCTGTTGTTGAAAATACCGTAGTAATTTGCCGGCCATTCAAAAAGTGTTATTGGTCTATGGTATATTAGAATTTATTGGCTAGAATTACAATTATACGTACGCATATTATATAAATTGTTGAATTCGATAGTGATATATCAAAAAAAACACTGTAAACAATAAGCATTGGCGCAGTAGATGGCCAGCAGATTACTATGGTGTTTTCAATCCTGTTGCTGTCCACGAAGTAGACAACAACCATGAATCGAACTCCTGATCGATCCATGAAGGTAAATGTACTTGCTATGATTTAGATAGTGTTTTATTGGTCTTATATTGGAATGAACATAATTTCTATG